GGCTGAGCGCAGGCATGAGCTGGGCTCTGTGAGCTGGGCTTGTGGCAGGCATTGGCCAGAGTCTGGTCTGTGAGCTGGGCTCGTTGCAGGTGGTGGTCGGAGTTGGTTATGTGAGCGGGCTCGTGGCAGGTGGTGGCTGGAGTCCTGTCTGTGCACTGGGCTCCTGGCAGGTGTGGCTGGAGTGCCATCAGCGAGTGGACTCGTGGCAGGTGGTGGTTGGAGTCAGGTCTGTGAGTGACCTTGTGGCTCCGAGCAGGTGAGGACTGGATGTACTGGCCACGGAGACTGTCCCGCTGGTGCCCTCCCTCCTCCTAGTGCTGCCGCTCCTGTCCCTCCCTTGCCCTGCAGTCTAAGGAATTCCAGCAAAGGGAGCAGCAGCTGGAAGAGAGCAATGTGCCTTGAGCTTTTGTAAAGGTCCAAGCTTCTCGCTAAGGTTGGGATCTCCTGCTGAGGTCCGCCCAGAGGGGTGTAAATGAGCCCAAAGAGCTTTCCTAAGGACGGTCCCTTTCCCACCTCCCCGCGTATGCCAGAAGCTGTTGAAGACGCTGAGGGTGCTGTGAGAGACAGACAGGTCTTGCTCCTCAAGGAGCAGGAAGTGGATAAGGAGAACTTGTGTCTGATGGACGCTGTTGAAAAGAGAGGAGAACTGGTGAGACTCAGGTTTGGGGAAGGGACAGATTGAAATAGGATGATGGGGGATGCAGCAGATGGCATGGTAGTTAAGGTGCTGGACTCCTACATGGCCGACTGCATTTCGAGTCCCGGACCTGGCAGCTAGTTTTCCCAGTTTCCTTTTTTTCTCTCTCTTCAATGATCACACGTGCTCTGTAGCAAATTTAAAAAATAATAATAAATTAAGTAAGTAATTCTTGAAAAGAAAAAATAGGATGATGGGAGCATAGCCTTGGAGCAGCACGGTCACGGAAGTGAGGGAGTAGTCGTGAGTGTGGCACTTAAAGAGGACAGGTAGCAGGGCCCTGTAGGCCAGTGGCGAAGATGAGGCCTAGGAGGAGGTGGGCTCTATGGGCCTCTCAGGGCTGGGCTTCCAGCTCCTTCTGTAGGCCAGGTAGGACTTGGTGGGAGGGGTGCAGTAAGGGAGAAGCCCTGGACCTCTCCTGCCAGCAGCCAGGGAGCGGGACAGGCTGTTAAGGGGAGCCAGTGAGAAGGGAAGATGGCAGATTGGCAGCGCGTCCAATGGCTGTCAAATCTGTGTTCCCAGCAGCATAAGAGGACGAAATAAGCATAATGAATACTTCAAGAGAAGGAGGAATTGAGGGCATTCAGAAATGGAGGGAAGACAGGGACAGGAGCTTATGCACAGAGCTGGAGTTCGGAGGGTGGGTGGAGTAGCCGAACGGATGTAGCAGAGGCTGAATGAGCAGGTTGGAAGGTCAGGTGGGAGGATTCTAGAAGGTAGTGTGAAGGGATAATGTGAAAGCTGTTGATGCTTGCATAGCAATCAATACTGATGTCTGTTTCTGTTATCCGTATGGACAGAGTAAGGGTCTGAGAAGCAGAGGAAATGTTTAAAAAAATACTGGGGGGGCCGGTAGGTGGCGTGGTGGTTAAAGACACTGAACTCCCACAGGGCTGACCCACGGTTCATGTCCCGGACCTGGTGGCTGGCTTTCTCACTTCCTCTCTGTCTTCTCTGTCTCTCTCTGATCAAACTGGAAATTAATAGTAGTAATAATAATAAAGTTAAATAAAATAATTATCAAAAAAATACTAGACCTGGAAGCTTGTAAAATCACGCCAGACGTGTGTGTGCATGCCTGAAATCCTGAGAGGAAAATGGAGGAGAAGGGATTGTGGCGTTGCCATTCCCCGGGAGGGTGATATCTCACTTTCCCTCTCTCTGTTTCTCTCTCCCTCCAGCAAGTGCTTGCACCCTATGGTGAAAATCTTAAAAGAGAAATACCAGATCATAAACGAGAAAAGCTCTTTAAAGGACAGCCAGCAGTGTGGAGGTTAAGGCAGCTGGATCCCACAGGGCCGACTGGGTAGTTCTAGTATGGTCCCGGCAGCTTGAAAAACACACTTGATGTGTACATGTGTACATGCGTGCCCAAAATCCCCAGAAGGGAGTGGTGGAGAAGGAATGCAGGTGGCCACCCCAGGGCGGGTAATTCTCTCTTTCTCTGTCTGCACTGGGATGGTGCAGCTTCCTAATCATCTCTGTATCGTTTCTTTCTTCCTTTTTTTAAAAAATTTACTAGAGACACGTGCTAACCAGAGAGAAGGAGGGAGGGAGGGTGGAAAGGAGAGGGGAAGCAAGGAAGTACCCCCCATGGGGCACAGTCACGTTGCAGTCACTTCTCCATGCCCCTCTCCTCTCAGGATTTTGGGCACACACCTGCACCTGGAATATTCCTCCAGCCATCGGGTCTGGGTCTCACTACATGGTTGGCCAAGAGGGATCCGGCTACCTTAACCGCCAGGCCATGTGCTGGCCCAAGCAGCTTCTGTGTTCTAGAGATATTTTTGTTGTGGCTTCGTTTTGCTCTATTTTGTGCACCATGAAGCATGCACAAGAGAAAACCCTCTGCAGGGCTTGGTCACACCATGATGCCCTTTCTCCAGCCCTCCAGGGTCCCGGGCATAGGGGAGCTTGTGCCTGGCCTGTTTCTTAAACCCACGAGGCCAAGGGTTTGACTGTAGAAGCACCTTACTGGACGCTGTACCTCAGAGGCTGTGCCTGTCTTCTGTGTTCCAGAAATAACCTAGTCTTCTTGAAGGAAAGGCACAGTGGTACATGTTTCAAATAATGTAGGGTTATATTTTTGTATGTGTGCTCATACCAATTCCTGTAGATTGACAAAATTAATAGCAGTTTAGGATTTTGGCAATTAGCCCTTGAATTAATTAATTTGAAAGTAGGAATAAATTTAGAATAAGAATGTGAAAGAGGCCTGCAGGTGCCATGGTGGTTAAGGCACTGGACTTCCACGTGGCTGGGCACGGCTCAAGTCCCAGACCTGATGGCTTGTTT